TCGTTTCGTAAAAACTTCATGTCTTCTGGCATACTTCTGAACACCCGGGCGCCCGCGACCCGCCTACCCTGATTTTTTTCTTTTGCGAATGTACCCCTTTCAAAACGCCACTGCGCGACGCCTAAAAATAACGTCCCGGAAGTTTTTTCGTTTGGCAGCCAGGAATCGTATTGCATAATTTTTTTTTTTTTCGAACAAACGGCGACGGCAAAACAAGGATATTATTAACTGGGATGGTTATTTGTAGACTGCGGTAGAAGTTCGCGAATTTCTATTTTTCGAGCAATTCGTACAGAATAGTTTAACCGATTCTTATACGAGCGTCCATTTTAGTTATATAGGAGTTAACGTCGGTCTTGTAATATCTCGGAGCCCAATACGCTGTCGGGCTTCGTAGTTTCTTTGCAAATATAGCCGACTAAGTCACCGCACTATTGTAACCTTAGGGGGGGGGGGGGTGGAGACATATTTTTGTACCCTCGCGTGTGTTTATAATAATAATAATATATTCTCTGTTCTTTATTTTTTTGTCCACTTTTTTTGCGCTGTGTATATACACGTTTCGTGGGACTCAATGCCTCCGATTGCTTAACAATAACTGTATGTAAGTGTGTGTGTGTGTGTGTGTGTGTGTGTGTGTGTAACACGTGCCGGTTTTCATACACGTATAGTTGTATATATACAATATACATCCAGAGGTATCCATTGTACATTCAAATTCTCTTCGTTTTTACTGGGTCAGCGAAAAACCCTCGTGTCGCGTTCGGATCGATGAAATCCCTTTCTCTACATAACACTGTGAGTTTTCCTTTTTTTTTCTTTTTTTTTTTTCCCCCCGTTATGATGCCTTTTTCGCCGGTGCATTTCGTATAACCCCCTTTGGTTGAGCTCTAAAAAACCTTTTTTCCCCCGGCTAATACCCTTTATAACCGAAGGAAAAAAAAAAAAAAAAGTTCCGTTTTATTTTCGTATCTATATTATAATATGATATTTTTATTTTTTTTTTTTTAAAAAAAAAATAACGGTCTGGTATACTTAAATAAGTATACTTACGTACTCGATTTGAATTTTGTTGTTTTCCCTAAACAGTATACTAAGAAAAAAAAAAAAAAAAAAAAAAAAAAAAAAACAAACAAAAATAAAATCGTGTCCAGACGACCGTAATAAGTATGACTGGTGCTTGTCGCCGTTATTCGATACGGTTTTCGTAACATGAACGTTTTTTCAACGCGAACAATATATTTTATTTAAGACGCGCCCGTATACGTTACACGCGATGTTTAATAATACGGGAACAGTATTAAATAATAATTACTGATTTATAATACAAAGTTTATTAACCGAAAATACCCACCTACGTCTAGTCTAGAAAATGCAATTAATTTCCATACACATTTTTATTTATGAGCGGGACGAAACGACTAAATGCAAAAGGTGTCACGCGCGCGCGTACGGAATTTAATTGAATATTCAATGGGTGACCGGACCCTTTTGTCCTCGGATCTAAAAAGTCCAATTAATTTATTTTGTAATTAATGTTTTTTCTTGTTATTATTATTATTATTATTATTATTTTTCCGTCGGTAAACCAACTCGCATTTGTATCCTGATACACGATAATAATTTCATTCGAACGAGATGATAAACCGAATCTCTCTATGTTCGGGTTATGCGAGTAAACAACGCTATTCAACATTAAACAAAATCGTTTAAATACAATACACATTAATATCCGAACAGATTGTATTAGATAACAATATCTCGAACGCGTATCTTAGATACAATTATTGTATCCGGACCGGAAAAAAAAAATGTGTAGCCAAACTTTTGGCTCTCATTGAAAGAATAATAATCAAAGGACTTAACGCACTTTAAATCCACGAAAGCGATCAAAACCTCAAAAAAGCGTGGAAAATGCATAAAAAAAAAAAAAAACTAAAATGGTAGTATGTTTTAAAAAGACCCCCCCCCCATAATGGCTTTAACTTGTAAAATACGATTATCGAACACTATAAAATTGATGAACTCAAGTTTTTAAATAAAATTTTAAGTATTGTAAACAAAATATTTTGCGTTAATCGTTTTTGTATTGTTAAAAAATAGCATTTATTGCCCAGAACCGTTATGGAGGGGTGTGGGGGTGGACATTTTATACCCCCGTTGAATCCTCTGTCATTTTTGCTTTTTACATTTTTTTTCAGGGCACTTTTGACGTTTTTTTAAGCTAGATTTTAAATGCATAAAGTCCCTACTCCTGTTTATAATATACATTAAAAAAAAAAAAAAAAAAGAACCGATTTATTTCGCACGTGGGTGCAATCACTGTTGCAGGCGGGAAGTTGGGAAGATAGGATACAGACGGTAATTTAATGCATATCTGTCAGCAATGTTAAACCATTGCTAAAGAAAAAGTAGAGTTTAGTTGTTAGTGATGCTTAAGTATAGAATAAAGAAATATACTAAAAAAGATTAATAGTTAACAGAATGTATTGAAATCGAAATTTATTTTTTTTTAATACCACTCGGTCTATAGTTTTGCTTTTTCAACAATGTGTGTTTCCACGATAATAACGATTGTTTAAAAAAGATTATAAAAATAAAAACTTAATAATAACAAAAACTAAATGAAAACGGTTGTCAATGACAACCTTATTTTTAATCTTTTAATTCTTTTCAACCTAAAGAACCAGGTTTTCGTTTTTATCTGGAATATTTATAACAATTTAAAAAAATTATTTCTCTGGAATACCACCCAGAGAAAATTTGAAAAGGTTATGCTTTCTGGTAAAAAGTGTGTTCACATAAAAAAAGAAAATTAACATCATTGTAAAACCAATACATTCTCTTTTCACTCAGAATCTTAAAATGTTTACTAATCAACATGTTTTTATACAAGACAAATAATAATACAGTATAGACATCATATAGATCTCAATTCCAAAGCCACAAGTATTATTTAAATAAATAAATATATTATATTTTTCAGCAAAGGTGCTAGTAGTTCCTATTATACGAAAATACGAATAAATTATCAGGCAACGGAAATTTATGAAAATATTCAATTACAAAGTTAATGGTTAAATACACGCATAAAAAATCATACTGTAACAAAAACTAAGGCACTGGGAGTCTGGTGGCCGATGACCATGGCCCTCTTTAGACCGCACTTAGTCCGTGATTGATTGCATACTATACGTCGTGATTCATTTATATCAGAAATCTGGGTCATTCCTTCCTTCTTTTTGCTTTCCGGAAAACAATTAAAAATTTAATGCATACGAAAATATGAGAAATTTCAAATAAATAATCGCAGTCATTTTTAGGATAATGCAAGCTTGCCGAATGTAATTAATATTTTAATTTTAACGCGCTGATAGTCGAGTATCGAGTATTCTATTGCATACAATGCCAGTATCGTGTATATCTCGTATTGCAACACTCGTTATATGATTATCTAGTAACTCGTATCCAGATACTGATAATCGATGTATCCAGTATCGAGTATCTAGTTACTCGTTTTGAAGTATCTCGCCTATTCCTGTCCGTAGTGTAAACTATTAAAGGCCTTTTCCGTAATTGACCGTCGATTTTATTATAAAATAACGATTTAAAGCAATTTCGCAAATGTTTTTTGTAAGAAACTTACTGAAATTTATAATTTCAATGTCGGGCGTATTAAATATTACCAGTGATTAATACACAACTGTTGAGGTTTCGTCTATCAACTCCGATATCCGCAACCTATAATACAATTAAAACTCGACTTTGATAGGAGATTTAGTGCGCGAACTTAATTCCTTTCTGTCTCCGTAAATAATACCCGTTGTTTTTATTTCCACACACCGCCGAACGTTCGTTGCGAGAACCAAATGCGTTTGGATTCATCGAGAGGATCGGCGGGGTGTACGAGATCCAATCCGCTTTAGGTAAATACCTTTACGCGTACGTTAGTCACCGTACCTGTGTTAGAATCTGTTAACGTTATTTTCGCCCTCCGGCAACTGTCGAAAACGCGGCAAATCGATTGGGTTCAATGGTCACTGAATCCGTTTCTTTTTTCGTTTTAATGTTTCCGTTTGTTTCGAAAAGAATATTCACTCACTGCACTGTAGTTTATGGGCGCCTTACAGTTCTTAAACCGCGGACGCGGACCCGTAATCAGCTTAACATCGTGGCGATATTCGATGTTTAATCAGAGACGATAACGTCAACTATAATAATATAATACAAATAAATCAAGAGTATTAGTACCGTTCGTACACGTGTTCGGTTGAACATCCGTCAAATTATGATCACGATTATTGCAGGAGTCTGTATTGTCCCGTCGTACAGTGTCCGACGTTAACTTCTTAAACGATATTTCAACGTTACGATTCGTTCTCCTACCAGGAGAAATTTTATCGACTTTTCGGAATATTTCGGTGTTAATTTTTACTAATCTGTTACAGTACCTATTAATATTACGCGAATCCGTTTTCACGAACGGTATGAATACGTCCGTTTCCGAAGCCGCAAAACGCGCAATATTCGCAGAGTTCATTGCCGTATCGACATTTTGACATAATATTAAAACACCATCACGGAACTGCAGACAAGGCCGATGCAAATGCAACGCAAATATAACATGACGTGATACCGATGGTGACACGGCGAAAGGGCCCGAGCGACGCTTTGGGTCTAGGCGACACGGCTTCGCTATTGGATGGATAAATGTGGGTTTCGTCCATTGCGCGTGTGCAAACACAGCGGTGACCGTTATTTGACGAACAATTTGAGTTTTGAGTTTGAGGTACAAACGATACTTTCTATTTTGTCTTCTCGATTATAGAGTCTAAACGACAATAAGAGCTAATCGAAAAATGCGTATTCATATTAAGAACGTACAAAAAAGAAACATATATATATATATATTCAATAAAAAGATTCTCCGTTCCACGGGAAAAATAGTTATTGCTAACCTAAACAAAAAAAATAAAAAAAAAATGTTAAAATAAATGTTTTATTTTATTTTATTTTTGATATCTTAATATCGATACTCGACGGCACTGAACTTATTCAACAACGACACGTAAATAAGCGTCGACCTTTTAAACAAATCGATAACTACTTTGCGATTCGCCAATCTATAAATCACAGAAGCCTAACACTCGCGGTCGTAACCGATGATTACAATTTTCACCGTCGGTTTTAACCGATCGGTCTTTAATCACCGAACTGTACGCCTAGCCCTCAACGCCGTGCGATATTTAATAAGGTTAATAACTGTCGTAAATATAGGTAATCTTAGTGAGTTTCATTAGAGGATTACGAAAAGTCCGTAAAATTAATCCGTATTTTTTAAAAATGATGTTTACGCGTAATGCGTATATAAAGTTTCGAAACTGAAAACTGCGGGCTGCGAACAGTTTCAATTTCGGATCGGCATTAAAACACTTGCGGGAACCGCTGCAGGTATTTAGTATGTTATACCTCAGCGATTTTTGCCGTGCGGTACGTATTAAAAAACAAAATTAAATTTCACTCCGGCCCTTATTATTTCGCGTAATTTTTTTATGCACCTTTAGATTCTACGGCGGAGCGGAAGACTATATCGTATATAACTTTAGTACTTTTAATTCATTTCTCCAACTTTTTTGTGGTAGTAAAACGGCTTACGCCGGTAAACATTTTAGATGCCTGGGCGAGTTTGATACCTAATGAAGCTAAATTATTATTAAATTTTCCAGTCGGTTTATCCGGTAGGAAAACGGGATGGAAATAAAAAACATTATTAAACATTTTGATTATGAGCCTGGAGTTGGCCTTCGTTTTTAAATAATTATTGCGAGGGTTGTGAATTTAACGTGCCGAAAACTAAAGTGTCCACCTGAAAAAAAAATACAGCAATAAAAGGCATAAAATGCACTTAAAAAAAAAAAATAATAACAAACAAACAAACAACATTGAAATGCGATATTTTAAAAAAACGACTAACTAACAATTGTACTGTTGAATCTTATAGCGTGCTGTTCAATTTGCAAATAAGTAAATTACGAGTAAAAATAGAAAAAATAAAAATAGTTGACAAACAGTTGGGATTAAGCGGCGCAGGAGTAACAGAAGAAGAACAAGAAGCAGAAGAGTAGGATGAAAAAACAGAAACTGTTAAGAATACCGTAACAGTTATTTAAAAAAAAAAAAAAAAAAATCGCAAAAAAAAAAAAGTAAAATTAAAGTTTCACAATTGTTGAACGGTTCGGATCGGTTGCGAAATTGATCGCGCGAAAACGCGTTCGCTGTCCGCACGGCCAATAGCCGACGATGGCGACGATAATCGAATTATTATCGCGTTGAAATTGAAAACGGCGTCCGGCGCGAAACTGCTGCAGTTTTGTGCACCCTCCCGACGATCGAAACGAGTCGAGTCGCGCGGGTAGATCCGCGGTACGCATTTTGTTATTTATTTATTTATTTGTGTGTGTGTGTGTTTTTTTTTTCGTCGTTTTTTTTTTTTTTTTGTTGTTTTTCCCGAATGCCCGCGCACAATGAAAACAATATACGTCGCGCGCGCGTTCGCGTATTAAATATTTACTCGTTAAAAAAAAAAAAAAAAATGCCCCGGCGCGCAGTAATATGACGCATAATTGTAATAACAGTAATTACGAACTTGAACGGATACGAACGTTATTTTTTCGCCGAAAATTTTGATTGGTGTTTGCGCGGAAACAACACCGGATAATTACTATCGACGCCGCGTACAAGTAGAACGGCAAACCAAATAAAAAATCGGGGAAAAAAAAAAAATCCTAACGATAAACAAATCCAAAGCGGACGCATAAAAGACGCGGATCCCGTCTGGTCCCCGGCACTAATGAATAATGATAACAGTCGTGTACCGTATCTGTTAACCGAATAGTTTTGCAGATTTCGAACCGAACGTATTTCGCACACGAGAGGAAAAAAAATGGCCGCGAGTACAGTTTTCGTCGTTCTGGCGGTCGTTCTCGCCGTAAGTATTGTTTTATTTTTTTTTTTTTTTTTTTTTTTTGTTTTTTCGAAATTCAATTACCGTTACTATTATTTTATTTTAATAACGTGATAATTGGCGTTGTAAACACTCTAAACCTGCTTGTTATACGGCGGTTTTTTTTTTTTGTTTTTTTGTTTAATTACGATTATTAAAGCAGTAGGTACACCGCGGTAAAGTCGGGAATTGTACGTTTCGTAAAAAACCGCGGGCGTTCCCGGTGCATATATACTGTACTTAATTGAAAATAAATCCTTTTTTTCATTACCTACATTGAATCGCGTTACAATTATAATTTTTTTTTTTTTACACTATTATGCACATTGTGCATTAAAATATATAAAGGTGAAAAATAAAAAAAATAATAAAAAAATGGCGGTAAAAATTTTTAATCTTGATGAAAACTAATTGTATAATATTATATTATTGAAACCGCGTATATTACAAAAATATATAAATAGAAATAAAATTTAAACAAATCCGTAACTAATAAAATGTACCGCATGAACACTTATATGTTTTTACTCCAAAGCAATTAAAATAACGTTTCAGAAGTTTTTTTTTTTTATGGTTATTTAAACGTAAACGCAGCGCACCACAACACTCGCGCAGTCGTATACGACGCGGAGCGGTAGGACGCGACGAGGAGACTTCCGAATAGGTTTTTATTATTAAATCGGTTATATTTCACGGTCCCGTGACGCGCGATATATTATGCAGAATTATTGACAGTTAAAATATTGAATTTCGTATCGTAAATGTAGTTTTATATTCAGGCGGGTCGAATAGTGTAGTCCGATAGTCGGGTTATTATTATTATTTTTTTTTTTTAAAACACTTCAAATTTTAATTTCGTCGCCAAACGCTATCGCAACCATACGGAGCTTACGGAGCGAATGGCCTGTACACCGTTCGTGTATTCTCGCGGTGAAAGAAGACGCGAAATTTCCGTCCGGCGCGGCGCTCGAAACGTTTTCTCTAGATTCCCGACAGTTTTTCGAAAACCAAAAACCGTCGTCAAAATACGATACGCTGGTCTCGTGTCTGCTTTTTTTTTTTTTTTTCATTGATTTCCGAGTTATATTGTATACGCTGTGTACAAAGGGAAAACACATTACAAAACTATAGTATTCACTTTACCGGTTAACGGCCGAGCACCGCTCGGAATAGTTTTTTGTCCGCGATGAACAATCGTTGTTTTCAGGACGTACACGTACTCATATAACAATCCTGAATTTCTGTACACCACCATCTGTCATACAGTCGTAGCGTTTTTTTTTTTTTGTATTTTAGAACTTTTAGAAATTACCTATGGCACACGGACGACGACCGCCGGAGGCGGCGGCGATTGCGAAAATCGCCGGAGTGGCGAGATTGAAAACTCGTCGACTCCTTCGGTTAACGTTTTCGCCCGTTATTTTGTGTTTCGACGTTGTACGTAACGAAATGAAAATAATAAAAAAAAAACACCGAGGAATCCGTCGGTTTTATCGAATACGAAAACCGGTACCGTTCGAATTGCCGTATCGGCCGACGGGATTTCCAAGGTCGTGCCGGGGGCGTCGTGACCCCATCGCGCGCCCCGTACACCCGGCCCCGACGATCGTTATCGGCGTCGCGGCCGTTTCGTCGCCGCCGTAACGGATGTCGCACGCGGAACGCACGAAATCCCATCGGGGGGGGGGAGGAGGGGGCGATAACGATTGACGCGCGGAACAAAAGTAAATCGTGATAATTGCACAAAGGCCGGAACGCGGCGTTGATTGGGCAACGCGCGCGCGAGACGCGACGGAGAATACCCGAACCGACGCGCGTTTATGCGCGCGTCGCCGGATCGGCGAAACGTAATTATCACGTTGTCGTCATTCCGCGGCGCGCGACGTGAATTCGGAAATCCGCGGCGTCCGGGGGGGGGTCCGACGGTACCGCGCACGTACCGTGTTGTTTTTTTTCCGCGGACGTGCCCGGACGACGTGGAAACGATCGCGTCGCACACCGACCGCGACTCCCGTACGGCGCGTAAAGGCGCGCGCGAATCCGGCCGGTATTGTTGCACGGGCGTTGCGGCGTACGGAGATTCGAACGGAACGTGAACGACGCGGGCCGCGTCGACGGGCCACGGAAACACAACGCGTCCGCGCGGTCGTCCCGTCCGGCGTTTCGGCGTTTCGCCGGCCGTTTCCGGGTCCGGCTTTGAAAATTCGCGAACACTTTTATTGACGCCCGTGCGCCGGGCGTTCCGGATATTCCGGCGACGGGACCGCGAATTCCGGCGAACCGATTCGAAGATTTTTACCGCGACGGGATCGAACGAACCGTGTGACGAAGTCGACCCGGCCGCCTGACGGTCTGAAGGGGGGAGGTGATAGGGTCGGTAACAGCTGCGCGAGAAAAATTCTGATAGTAGGCCGACGGTCTCGACGCCGACGGAATGGGATGGCCGACTTCATGCGCGCAAATATAATCGGCATACGCATTGGTATCGATATGTTTGATTTGGAGATTTTCGAAATTTTCCAAGAGAAATTAATTTCAATCGGTCGTCGTTTATCGCCAGAGCTCCGAAACATTTATGGCGTTGCTTTTAAACTCGTGTTTTACACAAGCAGCACATGTATTCCGCTTTCGAGTCGTTCGACGATCGACTAGCTCTTTGAAAACTATAATAACTCATTCCGTTATGTATATTTTACGTTTTACCTTATTTCCTCGTTTCGACACGTCCGCAATACTCCAACGCGCGCAGGTACTTACCACCTTATATGTCGGTTATAATAAATTGGAAATCATTTCAGTTTAAATTTACAACACGCCGCTGCGAATCGAATTCTCGACAAAATATAAATAAGAATTTACAGCGGCGTTTTAATAAATGCAAATTCAATGTTCAATAGGTATTGATGTTCAACAGTATTCGGACGTTTCGGTGCAATATGTTATTTTGAATGTTTCAAAATATACGAAATTGTTCGTATGTGCCGTCTACGCAATTTGAATTATTTTTATTTGTTATTTCACCGAGGGGCGATTTTTTTTTTTTTTTCACGGTCTATTGATTGTCAAGGATTTTAAGTAAATTTGATTTTTATACGTTTTTTTTTTTTTTCAATCATTGTGAAATTCGAATTTATAGATTTTACGTTCAAATAGTTATCATTTTACTCGATTGTCGAATTAATTTTCTCTTTTTGAATCTGGTTAACAAAGGCGGCAACGTAGAAACAAGTGAGTTGTATGAAAATCGAATGTTGACAAAACGTGTTTGTGGCGTACGTTTTGAAAATTTTGTTAACGAAACTGTTAAACGATTTTACAACGATGAAAACAATCGGAAATACAATTTTCCTTATATCCCCGTGGATAATCGCCACGGTTAAAAAAAACACCATTCAATGGAACTTATGAATGAACAGGAAAACAAAACAAAAAAAACGCACCGATTTACACATATTCACCGTAATTGTTGTCCGCGTTTATTTATTTATACAACCTCTTAACTATCCGATCCTTGATGGAGTTTTTGTTCACACCATATTTAATAATAAATTCGAAGAATAGATTCGATTTTTGCCGTAATAGGACGGCTGTGGTGCAGATACTGAAAAGCGTTGCGCCGAGTGCCAATTGCACGGGACACGTTCGTATTAATTAATAGCGGTACTCGGGCGTTCAATTTTTAAAATAATTATAATTCATACATTTATGTTAAAAGAGTATGGTTTTATTAATTTGTTCGCGTTAATTAATAATGACTGTCGTTTCTAAAAGGGCAATTGAAATATCCGCCTTCGTAAACGAACTTTCAAATTAATTATAAATTACCTCGATTTCGAGTCACTTCCTGAGTATAGGAAATTAGCATATTAATTTGCAGTCCACTGAAATCAAGATTATGATTATTATCGTACGACTCATTCGCCGCGAATAACTATTACGGCAGGTGTACCGATTTTAATTTTCTCTTTTTTACACAATACATGAATACGGTAACGTTTTTAGTTACCTGGCATAATTTTTTGCTGTTTATACGGTAATGTTCCAGGTGGTTTATGGTTTGGACTTGACTAAAACTGCTAGTTATAGTAAAAACGAAGAGGTGGTAAAGAAATCAGGTAATGTTAAGAAAAAAATATATGTATCACTATATTATTGTAAACATAATAAAACTATTAAAATCTGTAGGTGGTTTACTTGATAAACCAACTGAGGTGATTAACACTTCCGAAGTGAGCAAAAATGTCAGCACTGTGGTGGATAAAGATGGAATCGTGTCTAGTATAACGAAGAACCCTACTAAGGTGGTCGACACTTCTGAATTGAGCAAAAGTACCAGCACTGTGGTGGATAAAGACGGAACTGTGATCAGTTTGACGAAGGATCCAATTAAGGTGGTCGACACTTCTGAATTGAGCAAAAGTACCAGCACTGTGGTGGATAAAGACGGAACTGTGATCAGTTTAACGAAGGATCCAATTAAGGTGGTCGACACATCTGAACTGAGCAAAAGTTCCAGCACTGTGGTGGACAAAGACGGAATTGTGTCCAGTGTATCGAATAACAAGACGGAAATAGTCAGCGAAAGCAATGCCGTTAAAACCTTGACGAAACGGGACAAAATTATAGGCGGTCTATTAGATAACCCAACTAAAGTGGTCGAAACTTCTAAAGTGCAAAATCATACCAGAAGTGTGTTGGCTAAAGACGGAATTGCGTCCAGTGTATCGAATAACGAGAAAACAGTCAGCGAAAGCAATGCCGTTAAAACCTTGACGAAACGAGACAAAATTGTTGGCGGTCTATTAGATAACCCAACTAAAGTGGTCGACACTTCTTCATTGACCGAAAGTACTACCACTTTGGTGGATAAAGATGGAATTGTGTCAAGTGTATCGAAAAACAACACTGAAATTATCGATACTTCTTCGGCGGGCAAGAGTGCTACTTTATTAAAACAAGAAGAAATCACGTCCAATTTGCCGAGTAACCCAACGAAAGTTGTCAGCGGCAGTTCTGTTGTTCGAACTTTGGCCAAAAGATGTCACGTAAATATTTTTCATGTTTTTTATTAGTCGATATTAAACATAATAAAAATACATAACAGATTAGTACAACAACAGTTGTATAATATGAATAGGTACAACGTGCGCATTGCATGTTGCACATAATATTATTGTTAATTTGTATCGATTTAACATAAAATTGAAATTTTTTTTTTTTTTCTAGTGTTTTAAAGTAAAACCAGAAGGCGATAAGGATGACTTTAAGGTTAATATCATTTTATACAACATAATAAAAAAAAAAAACCGTAATATTCCTTGTTTTCCAGTATTCATCACAAATTATTTATTTTTATTTAGAAGGAAATGAAAGCAAAGTGCTGCTCATGCAGTGATAGCGACGAAACGGAATCAAAAGAAAAAACGGTAAGTGTCCGTGAGGAATAGCTAATATATTAAAAAATTATAGTAGTCATAATAAATTGTCGATATACAAGCAGGCGTCTATATAAAAATGGTCAAAACCGTGTTTTGTTCTGGATAAATAACAATTACTATTGTAAAATAAATAAACATAGGTACTGCATATAGTTAACAGACACATATGTTTTGTAATGACGGGTGAAACATAAAATATTTAAACGGTATATTTATTGCCTAACCGTGTGCATGACATTAATTGAATTTTAAGGAAAAAGAAGGCGGAGAAAATATGAAATTAAAACAAAAATATTTCGAAGAAAAAAGCAAATCAAAAGACGAAGATTTTAAAGAAAAATTATGCAAGGTAAACTATTTTGTAAATATTAATTCAAATCTTTATTTAAAAATTTTCCACTAGTTTTCCTACTGAGATAATTCATAAAATAAATGTTTAAAACACTTAACAATAATTGTCTTCTCGTCTCTAAATTTAAAACTATTAAATTATTATCTATGCGTTTTTGTTTTATACAAAGTGCGGCAAACGTAAACAAAGATTCGGATGTCGTCCGTGCATGGAGAAGGAAGAAGAAGAAAAAAGACAAATGAATGTAAATAGATTCTATCCAAGATTATCTTATTTATTCGCATTTGACACCTTAATATTTTTTTTTAATACTAAGTAATTAGGTAATTAGCAACGTCTGAAAAAAAAAAATGGTAAATAATTTCTCGAATTTTTTAAAGAAATTCTCATGGTAGGATACATTAAATAACAACCCGAATTTTAAAACGGTTTATTTCATAAATAATCACGTAATAACCCCAATCGATTTATTTTATATTATTCAATAGTGTGTGGGTTTTAAGGATCATACATTTAAAATGTTGATATTCGAAAACTGACACACAAAATTTATTTTCGCGCGAATTCAACGTAATAATTGCATTAGTAATTATTGCTTTCGTTGGCAACACAATGTACAATACGATTTTAATGTTATCGTTTAAGTAGTTATTATAATTTCGGAACAATAACAATGATTTTTCTTACTGTATTTCTCATTATTCGTAGGAAAATAAACGTAAAGGTGGTGTGTCAGATAAAGAAAAAGAAGAATTCATGAAAATGAACGTGAGTATTACAATATTCGTTTATGTTTCTCGATCGACAGTAATAATAACAATTTGTCTTATTGTATGACTCTATTACCCGTAGGAATATCAACTGAAAGATAGCGTGTCAAATAAGGAAAAAGAAGAATTGATGAAAATGAATGTAAGTGTTACAATAATCGTTTAAGATTTTTGTACATTTTCATTTATTTATGTCGTTTATATTGTTTAGAACGACTTTTTAGCGGCTTCGTTGTACAAAGAAGAAATGAAACGGAAGGAAATAGAAAAACTGGTTAGTATCTATTCATGTATTTGATGATCTCGTTCGGTTAAGAAATTATGTTCAAAAAAAAAAAAATGTTAAACTCAAATCTCATGATTACAACCAGGATTTATTTGTTTTTAACGATTTAGTAAGACAATTTAATTTAATTTCGTTCATTTCGCAGGGTAAAGAATGTGGGTTATCCGACGCAGAAATACAAAAGGATCTAAAAAAATCAAGGGTAATTAAATTTAGATAAAAAAAATGTATTGTACCTATGTGAGACTGAAGGAATTCGTGTTTTACATTCGTTTTAGAATCTAGGATACATGGGCATGTATCAATTTCCGGGAGATATGGAATCAATGACGGACAAAATAAAGAAAATGGTAAAGATATTTTAATACCGATGGATTCCATTTATGATTTTAAAATTATTATTTTAGTAGTTCACAGTTTTTCTTTTTTATTAATGAAAAATAATTATAATTGTTTGAAATCGAATGATTTTAATCGTAGGAAAATCAACGAAAAGCTTTAATGTCAGAATTAGAAAAGGAACAATTTATGAAAATGAATGTAAGTACTACAACATTCATGTATGTTTCATGATGAAAAATAATAATTATCTGTCTTACTATACGATTATATGGCTATTGATTCTATTACTCGTAGGAAAATCAACGAAAAGCTCTAATGTCAGAATTGCAAAAAGAAGAATTATTGAAGATGAATGTGAGTATCACAATGTTTATTTAAGGTTTTTGCATGCTCTAGTATGTGTTTGATATTGTGTTTAGAAAGACAAACTATCGGCTACGTCGTATAACGAAGAAATGAAAAAAATGGAATTAAAAAAAATAGTTAGTATCTGCGTATTACGCTATTTTAAAAAACTTTAAAACAATATATTTATGTGTAACAGAAAAACAATCCAAATTATAATTAAGTAATTATAATTTTTAACATTTAATTGAGATTTATTTATTAGGAATGTTTAAATTATAAATTATCAAGTTTATACGTTTATCATTTTAGATCGTATTTTTTTTATTTCACAGGGTAAAGAATGCGGGTTATCCGACGCACAAATACAAGAAGACATTAATAAATTAGAGGTAATTAGTTTTAGATAAATAATTTTTAGTACCTACGCGAGACCGAAGAAAACCGTATTGTCTGTTTTTATTTAGGGCAAAAAACGTCAATCGTCAGGAAATGAAGCAACGGCGGATAGAATTAAAAAAATGGTAAAGATAATTTGATATTCACGAACTTCTATCGTTTATCGTTGTACATATTAGTTCATAATTCAACGCGAAAGACGTTTTACATCCAATATAAAATAATATTCGTTAGGATGTATGCGTAATTTTCTAATTATTTCCTAATAAAATAATTATAAAAGGACAAACAATTTGAATGTTCAACGTTATGGGTTTTTTTTTTTTTTTACTTTTTTTATGTTAATTTTAGAAACAACGAGAAGAACAATTACTGTCGTCCTCATCAAGCAAAAGTAAAGCTGAAAAGGAATTGGTAATAAAAGAAAGAATTAGTATTTATTTTTAGTTAAATTTGTAGTCAATAAATGATTAAACATAATCATAAAATAATTCGAAACACTTTATTTTCTGAGCGCAGCGAAGAATATATTGATTTAAACACGACGAGTATTAATTTTCCAACTTTTTTTTGTGTCTGTGTAAAACTATTCTACCAGAAATTAAGATCCAATAAAAAAACGATCCAAGAGTTATTTTTAGCCTTTGGATCTAGTTGATACATAAAGGAAGTTTTTTTTTTTATTTTCCGTGTAGTTTTCTAAATAATTGGTAAAAAACGTAGGAAAAGGAGAAAGTTTAAGACATTTACGGTTTCGTTGTTTTTGATTTTTACACATGATTAAATTTCCAAAAAATACTGGTGATTATTTACTATTTATAGAAACATGACATTTTCGAGTTCTTTTTAATTTCTACTCGGTTTTATGTGAATAACATTTTTTCGTCAAACGGAAATAATCTAAAATTTAAACCAGGATGTATTAGTCCATTTTGGGCTAATGTCCAAATGGACTTTGCAATGATGGTTTTACAATAATATTTATTTATTAATAAATATTTTTTTTTTTTTATGTCAACACTTTTTCTATCAGAAAGCTTATTCCGATCAACAAGTATTGTAATTTTTCTGAAATGAAATGTTCTCTGATTGGTACTATAGAGGGATCAGTTTTCGAATCTCTTATTAATGTTCGAGATAACGAGGAAAACCTGGTTCTTTAGATTAAAAAATATTGAAAGATTAAAAAGAAGGTTGCGATTGGCAACGATTTTTATTAATTTCTTTTTATCATTAAATTTGTATTATTTCAATATTTTTCAAACAATCATTATTGCCACGGTAACGCACATTTTTGTAATCATTTTCCCATAATATGGCGTGTACATTGTTGATAAAGTAACGTTACCAATCGTTATTTCGTTAGCTATAGTATATCGTTACTTAAATGTATACATTAAATTCTCTCGTCTGTATCCTATTTTCCGAACTTCCCACCTATAATAGTGCACCCACGTGCGAAGTATGTCCGTCCTTTTTTTCATTTGCTTCAGTGCAGAATCATGTAGGTACTTACTATATGATATTTTTCAGACCTTATATATATATTATAGAATCATATAAATAATGTAAGTTAGGTACGTAAATTAAGACGGGCGTTAAAAGTATTTAAAAAAAAATAAAAAAAAAACGGACATACATAGGTGGGCCACTGTTGTAGGTGAGAAGTTGGGAAGGTGGGAGGGAAATTTAATAAATATCATCTGTACCCGACGATTGGTCTCTAAGAATAAACGATACTGAACAGAGTTTTTAAAGACCGCAATATTTACATTTTGAAATTAATATATTTCGTACATTTTCCCGTTTTTCTCACGTTTTTTTCCTATTCTTTTGCGGAAACTCCCGGGAAAAAATGGGAAAATTACTTCCATAACCAAATCAGATTTCCTTTCAGAAAAAGTGCACCAGTCGATATTTTCGCTAGCCTCGGAACTGATTTCGAATGTACGTTCGGTACGTGTACAAAAATTTAATATATTGCTAAACAGCCGATGGTACCACTAGATTTGTCGCAGCCTCAAAAAAACATAGACAATTTTAAATAATTTCAATTATTCAATCGATTTCTATCCGAGGAATTGCATTTCATCTCTATTCTGTTATAACGTAAACCTACTAAATACCATTCAACTTCTACGTTTACCACGCTTTAAATCTAAAACATGTTTCCAACTTCAGTAATCTATTCGATTTTTCTACTTAAATAACATCAATTTATGCATACAAATAATCTTAGAATTCGAAAAAAATCGTAATTTTAACAGTTAATTATTAATCTGCAAACGATTCTGAATATAAAATGTGAACAAAAATGAGTTCCTAATGGTTTTTTTTTTTTTTTTACAAGGAAAAGGAACAAATGTTATCTTCGTCGTCGTCGTCGTCGTCGTCGCGGTCATCATTTCATAAGACGGTAAATAACGTTACACGATAAGTAAATTTTAACATTTAAATAAGTATTTAGTTTTGTTAGTGAATCGGTCTTGTTAATAATTACACTGCAATAAACTATAACGAGTATAACTGTTTGTGTTTTTAGACCTATGACGAATACGGGAATAAAATAGAGGAAAGCGAAACGACCGATGAGTGATCCTACAGTAAACGAAACTACAACGTGAATAATATTATTATCCATATTGAAATATTGTTTATTGTGTTTTCATTAGTGATACAGTAAAATGTTTTTAAAACGAAATTGCATTGTTTCAATTTATTTGCATTTTAGATTCCGAGCGTAGCGAGGGAGCCATTGGTTTTAATAAGATATTTATTTTTTTTTTTCTTCTTCTAGTCTGTAGTCTTGCTCCGATTTTCAACGTGTAGCAACATTGTAGTGATGGTACTTTGGAGAGCTCATTTTTTATTTTCGACGCCATTTATTAAATAAAAGCACTTGCGAGGGGAAAAAAAAGTAGAAAAACGTACAATTTCACGATTTCATTATTTTATAAACACACGAACGACGTTTTCTACCAGAAAAAATGATTTAATCGAAAAATCACGAGATCTCTTTTGGTTGCCTTTCTGATTTACTTTCTCGTGGTACCGTTGCCAAAACTTTTGAGTTACATTTGAGCTTTTAAGGAATTTTAATTTTTAGGAGTTTTTTGCCGTAATTCGGGTATAAATACACGTAGAGACTTGCGACTGCGTAGTAATAAAAGCGCGGAGTTATATGCATAAAAAACTAACCGAATATGTGCTAAAAAATCTTAAATAATCATAAATATATGCACTAAAATGTCCGATTATGCATGAAAAATAAAAAGTAGGCATATTTAGTAAAATTAGCAAAAAAAAAAAAAATGTATTTTTAGAATATTTAATTAGAACAGTGAATTTAAAATTATGGGATTCTACAATAAATAGTTTTATTCATTTTGTAGGCAGTTTTAATGTATAAGACTCTCGAAAACGATGGTTTATTTTTCGGCATTTTGATAAAAATAAAGTAATAAAAACTCGAATTACAACAAATATTTTAACGCGACTGAAATAATGTTAATGGTTAATGATCGCGATCCATATACTGAAATCAGATTACGTTTGAGAAAACCGTTTATATCGTTTAGAGAAAAAAAAAAACCCATCGGAATATGCACTAAAAGATAAAATATGCTATTAAAATTGTAAAATAAGCCCTTTAAATAGAAAAAAAAAAAATGGTTGAATTTCGAAATATGCAAAAATATGCACTAAATAGTTTAATTTTTTAAATCGTTATGTCATGAAACACATTTTGTGCTCACTTAGCATGCCACACGATCTACCAGAATAAATATGCAAATGCATACAAATCCGCGCTCTAGTAATAATACTTATATTGGACCTTATACCTAGACGTGGTAAAATTTCCAAAATCGTCGAACGATTTTTTTTTTTTTTTTTTTGTAATAAGCATTTTGAAATCAAATTTAAACGAAAATCGCAAAAGAAAAAATTACGGAACTTCAAATTGTGTATTACCGAACTGCGCTCGGAATCGTCTTTCGCCAAGCAACGGTTTATCGTTGCTTACAGATATAAACGAAATAACCTACCTACCTGCCTAAGTATCCTACCTTCCCAACTTCTCACCTACGACGGTGACCGCTCCCGTCCCTAGTATCAGCGCTTTCGATTTTTATATTATTTTTTACCACAGTACTCGCCTGTCGTTTAAACCCCAGATATAATAATAGATATAAGCAGCTAGATGGCCGACTTTGTATTGTTATCGACGACAAGGAAACGGCTGAATTTTCTTGTCGAAGAGGTCCGCGTTTACCGCTTTACTTATTGCGCAGAACAAATCCAATTTATTTAGTGCATGTCGATTACTTAATTATGTTCAATACCTATTAAAAGTTATCAAGGAAAGTTGCCGCCGGTGTAAGACACAAGATAATAAGTCAATATTACTTGCGCAGAGACGGGAATTATTGAATTATTTTTAAATTTTCCAGGCAGTGTCGATTTGGTATTATCGATATCGATGACCGAATGACACGACTAATAAAAACTTTATTTGTTCACTATATTTTTTCAACATTTCAACTGTTCGAATTGACATGAACAATACACGAAACAATATCAATACAGCCCGTATCTTAGAACTGATTGTAAACACTGACCACTAAAATAAAACGAATCTGCCATTTTGTCGCCTTAATATTTTACACTAAAGGGTCCATATGGCTAATCGGCTATCTGGTTTTTTTTATACATACCCGCGGTTAAATAAAATCGGTCCTAGTCACTACGATCAATCAAAATAATTATTTCTCATTGAAGAGTTCGTTTTAATTATTTTAATTAAAAACAAAAAAAAACAAAAAAGCCGTACTAAAACTGTTAGTGTACCGAAAACATCAATCATTGTTGCGATCAAAAAACGATTTTTAGCGAAGCTCGGCAAACTGGTTAGGTTATTATACTTTATTAGTGTTCGCCGTGGTTCGGTATGTTTTAATATTTACGATTTATGCTATGGTTTTGAAAAAGGTAAACCCAAGCCACGCGAGGACTATACTAGTTTTTACTCAGTTTCAACTGAGTGAAATTCGTATAATAATAATGTGTTTTTCTTTGGAGAGAATTATAGACATGAATATGTTAAGTATAAGTAACAGTTGTTTTTTTCGGACAAATATTGTAATTACTACAGAATTTCATTGGAATGTTTAACAGAACTTCGAACACAATCGTTTGTAATATATTTTTGCATACAGATATAACTTAAATTACTCTAGGCATCCTATCATCCCAAGTGGTTTTTTTTTTATGTTTAATTCATTTTTTTTTAATTATATATAAAATAAAATCGAAATTCTATGTAACGACCATAATATTGCGCCTACAATACACGTATACTATCACATGCAATTTGAATACGCGATATTATACTATGTCAAAAATGTCGAATGGTTTAACATTTTTTTTTTTTTTTTTTTTTTTTTTTTTACGAGCACCCCGAATTTATAAAATGACAAACATTTTAATAAATCGAGCTCCTTTCAGAATCACTTTTTTTCGCCCGAACACGATGATTTATCATAACGCGTTCAAATTGAAAATAACAATATACGCGCGAACCTGCACGGAGACGAGAGTAAAGTCAGACGACACCCGTATTCTCAACATCACCGCCATGTTGGCCTTTTTAATAATACCATAAATTAAAATGTGATGTGACACAATCATTTTTTGTGACGAGGTGTATTTCATTTTTATTTTTTTCAATGCGTTTAACAAACACTGTACAGTGTAAACACTCGGATAAAAAGGATTCATTTTATCTTAGGCAACTTGAAAATAATGAATAACAATGTCATACACAAGAGAGTGTGATAAATAAATTGATTGTCCGATCTAACGGATGGGTACCAAGAATTATTTTAAAATTTATCATTTAAACACTTACGATCAATCTTAATCATAACTGGTACCAGACACCTACTTACATATACTTATAAAATACGATTTTTTTTTTCAAATTAAAATATATTTTATAAGATAAAAAAATATTTACTTGAAATGCGTTTTTGATTTTTGAATAGGTTTACCCGTGTTTTAATATCAATCGTCAACGACTTACCTGCAAATACAAAACAAATAAACAAATTATTAAAAATATATATATTAAAATTAGTTACCAATATCTGTTATAGTTTAATACGATCTGCAATTTGTTGTGCATTTGTAATATTATTTTTTCGTCTCAAAACCCAACTACTGCGTGAGATTTCCACGAAAGTCTTTTCGGAAAATTTGGATTGAGGGGATAGGGAAATATGATTTCGGATTTTTTTGTTCGATTCCGGGTTCCGCTGATCAAAGAAACACGACTCGTCGCTTTGTACGTTTGTACAGTATTAGAACAATAATAAAACCCAACTATCTCAACTAACTCGACTCAATATTAGAGGTTCCCAACCAGGGCGTTGCAAAATTAAATTTAGGGTGCTGCGAAATTATTTGAAATGTGTTTTTTTTTTTTTTAAAAAAACGACTTTGTGAAAAATATGGCACTCCACTATACTATAGAGTCTACAGTATAAAACCTATTGCGCATAATTAATTATATACAATATAATTTAATAGAATAGATATAATTTTGTACATAGTAATGTTACAATCAATTTTAATTTTCATACTTGTGACTTTATCTTATCTTTATTGATTATTATCAATATGTACCGGCAAAATAATAAAAAAAAAAAAAAACCGAAGTTACAAAATGTAAATTTAAGTACACGATGTATTACTATTGCGTATTCAGTATAGAGTATAGGCCATAGGGTGCCTCCGGATTTTCGGAAAATAATTGAGGGTTCCGCGAGTCAAAAAAGTTTGGGGACCTCTGACCTACATTATTATTGGATTTGACCAAAATTGTATTATTTGTCACCTTGTTATTTTTAATGTACACCTAATTTACACTCCAGAACAGAGATTTGTACGTTATTTACCGCGCATTAATTTACAATTATGAGTATGGATAAGGGGTGAGATCTCCTCCCGGGCAGAATATAAACGTGGGGTTATAAAGACTGTGAATTTAATAAATCATATTTTGTAATGCTCTATAATATCGTTACGATATCTATTTACACGTATGTTGGTTTTGTCGGGTGCCGACTAAATGCATCAGTTTCAATGGTTCGTGCAGTTGAGAGTCATAATATTCTACAATGTATTATCCCCGAGAAGCTTTTGGAAAATATAGGTAACCTGTATGAAGTTTTTGGATAGAACATTCGTGCGACGGCCATTTTCTCACGACGAGCGCGTGCCTACGGTTCGTTGACTAAAAGTCCGTTGAAATAAATTGCATTTCGTTGAAGTATTTAAAAATAAAGAACGCGAGCGCGCGAAATTCGCGTCCGGCCACGAACCGCCCGAGAGAATATTTCCATCATAGTTACGGCGAGAAGAAATGGCGAATAAGTGTAACGGATTCCATTTGGAAACGCGACACCGGGGTTCGTGTACTCGGGTCGTGTCGTACATTTTTACCCGGACAATCGGCGCTTTCAGAACACAAGTACCGATGACCCGTTGTCGGCGCGATCTCTAGATTATACTGCCGAGTGTTGACAAGTCGATCGAACACATATTGTAAACAAACGAGAGAAAAAAAAAACGATTTCGGCCGTATTTCGGAAAACTCCCGACACGCCGGTGGGGGAAAAACTGGTTATCAATCGTGTGCGCGGTAA